TTTTTTTTTTTTTTTTTTTTTTTTTTTTTTTTTTTTTTTTTTTTTTTTAAGTGTAATATAATTAGCTAACTTGGTTAGTTTGTGTTTTCTTTACAGTTGAATCATATGTTAGATCCTTGGGTCAAACTCATTTACTTGACCTGTTAGTGCATAGCGCAAACGAAGATAAAATTATGGAGGAAGTTGAAGATTTGAGGCCATCCAAGAGAAAGGTTCTTTACACCGAGGTATTACAATGAATTATGCTTGACTTCATTAATTTCTGGTTAGATACCACTGTCTTAAAAAGTCGGGGGTTTATACTGTATCCTCCTTTCCTTTCTTTTCAGCATAAACCCATGTCAGAAATTACTTCTGGCTTGCATCGTGGTATATATCATCAAGGAAGGCTCCGTGTCAATCGATTCAATCCATTTGAAGCATATGTTGGAAGTGAGAGTATTGGTGATGAAATAATAATTTATGGACGTACCAACATGAACCGGGCTTTTGATGGTGATGTTGTGGCGGTTGAACTTCTATCTCGAGATCAGTGGCATGAAGAGAAGTCTCTGACTTTAGCAGATGAAGGTACTTTAATTTTTATCCTCATGAACATTTTTTTTTTAATGAGAACTGTGATGTATGTGTGATTTGTAGTCATATTCTCACAAGTTGTAAGAAGTTCAATGACATGGTAGTTTAAATGAAAATGATAGAAAGGATGCCAAATGGCCTCTTGAGGAAGTGACTAATGATTTTGCCTTCGTGTTTCTATTTGAATTGGTGGTGGTCGGGGCCAAAGGATTAGGTTGGGAGTCATATTCTAATGAGATAACATTTTCAATTAGATTCTGAATGAAGATGGTAGATAGGGTAGCAACTTCCTTCTCAGGAAGTAATTGATGATTTGCCTTTGTGTTCCTTGATTGAACTTCTCTGTCTATCTCTCTCTCTCTCACACACACTGTCCAGTTATTGATGCATATTTTCTGATTGTATTATTGCAGAAGATGATGAGGAAGAAGATGTTCATCTTGTTCCTGGTAGCGCAGATGATGCCCCAAGAACTGCATTTGTACTTCAGGGCTCTGATGGAGATTCTACTTCTAGTTCACCACGTCCAGCTGGACGTGTCATTGGTATTATAAAGCGTAACTGGCACTCGTAAGTTATCTTGGTACTTCGGTAGATTCTCCTGTTTCATGAAGTGATGTGTCTTCGCATTTGTATATATTTTTTGTTCTTCATATTCTACTAATAAATATTTAGATACATTCTAGATGCATTTGTACATGTAGGTATATTTGTGTATATCATACCATGTGCAAGATGGTACTAACTTTTGTAGATAATATAGTCTGCGATTTTCCACCTAGCTTTATTGTTGGTTTCTTGCATTTCTTAAATCTAACGTTGTCTTAACATTACGGTTTCTTTACTTGGCCAAGAGTTGCACAGACTTCATCTTGCAGTGGAACTGTTTGTCTTATATTGAATTATAATGCAGTTATTGTGGTTCTTTGGATCCAATGCCTATGCCTGCTGGAAGTGGCGGTGTTGCCTATGCTCTATTTGTTTCAAAAGATCGTCGGGTTCCAAAAATTAGAATCCAAACTCGCCAGCTTGAGAATCTTTTGGACAAGAGAATTATCGTTTCTGTTGATTCTTGGGACCATCTATCTAGATATCCTTCTGGCCATTATGTGCGATCTATAGGAGAAATAGGAGATCGAGATACTGAAACTGAGGTATACACAATTGTTATATCAATAAGAAATATTTCTGCCTCTTAATAGGCTATTTACAAAACATAGAGTTCTTTTGATGAATTTCCAAAATACCTATAAGATCTAATAGATCTTGTTGAATTTCTTAAATCTATGGAGTGGGTATTTAAGTTTTGAATTATTTGATATTATTTATATACTAACAAAAATTTAAGCTTTTTATTTTGATGTGATAAAAATGTCATTTGCTTTCATAATCATTTTATTTGCACGTATAAAATTTTACACATGAAATGATAAAATGATTGGCAAATGTTACGTCTTGTACAATTCTGATTTCTAACTATTTATAAGAAAGTGAAAATTAAACCACAAGCAATACTCCTTAGTTACTAGTCAGTCTAAAATACGTGGGGGTGGGGAGGTGGAAGCTCTTGTAGTGCCTTTTCTCATTCATTGAAATATTTGGACCCTTTTGAATACTTCAGGTGGTCTTAATTGAAAATGATATAAACAACAGGCCGTTTTCTTCACAAGTTATGGCATGCTTGCCACCATTACCATGGTCAGTGTCTCCTGCTGATGTAGCAAACCCCATTCGACAGGATTTGCGGCACCTGAATGTTTTTAGTGTCGACCCTCCAGGTAGGTGGACAATTTTCTTACTCTATTGCCCCTGCTTTTTCCATTTCTTTTATGTATTACTATTCCTCGATGGTGTAGTCATGTCACTTCTGTCGAACAATAATTGGAGACAATGATCTTTTGGTTTGTGTAGGTTGCAAAGATATCGATGATGCACTTCACTGTACAGCTCTTCCAAATGGAAATTTTGAAGTTGGAGTCCGTATCCTCAAATCTTTTGATGTTCTGTATGCGGTAAATGTTTATGTTACCCCCAGAGTCCTAAAGATGGATCTTTAAAACACTTTTTATATTTTCAAAAGATTTAAAATATTAATTGTATCCTGTGGATCGTGTCATTTACTCACCCCTTTTATAGAGAAGAATTAAATACTTTTTATTTTGATTCTTGAAATAGATTATTCCCATGTAATAGGATTGAGATCCTAATGGAAAAAATCATATCAGGTTACAATTTAAATAATTTGGTGAGTCATCCTTCAAAATAAGATTGAAAGAAGAGATGAATTTTTACTAGGTGGATTTCAGAGCTGGGTTGCAGGAGCTTTGATGTCTCTAGTCTCTCAAGTAAATCCTTGGAAGATGCAATATTTAGGAATGTCAATTTGAGATGCATTGAAAACTATTCCCTCATGACTGAGGTTGGTTCCTAGCTGTGGCGTTTGAGAGCCCCTTAGGTTCTATTTCATTTAGCTCTCTCCTCCAAATCCTTAGTGTCCACAAAGAAGCCCTCAATCTTGCATGTGCAAAGTCGTTTAGATGAGAATGGGTATCCTAGAAAAGTTAGATCCTCATTGGAGAGAACCTGTCAAAGAGCATCAGCAATACCAAGATTGGATATATAAGAGATGACTTTTAGCCCTCTCCCCTAGCAGCAGGTGTGTCTGCTGTAAGAATGTTGCCGAACCACAAGTTCACATATTCATCTACTGCCAACATACTCCCTCTGGATTCCCCCTCGAACAGAAAACATATCTAATTTTTACTCCTTTTTTTGAGAAGAGAAATAATTTCATTGATTAATGAAATAAAAGGAGTTAAACACTCTTAACCACCAAAATTTTACTCTTGTCTGATTATTCCTTCGAGGAGAAGGCTACTGACTATTTGGCTCAATCTTATTAGAAGCTTCTTTGGGTGAATATGGATCAAGAGAAGGCATCATTTTTTTTGTTGGTATATTAGCCTTAATTTGAAAGAAGCTCAATGCAATATGCATGTCTAGATTGAAATGTAAGATCTCACTTCATGTTAATGAGCTTCAATCAATTCTCTTTTTTCTTTCGTTCTTTTTGTTTGTTAAACCTGCATCTGCGAAATATCATATGGTTTTGAACTATGGTGCGATTGTTTCGTTGATTCCTTCCTCTCATTTTCGATGTGTAAGTAACTCTTCATCAAGTAATTTACAGTATTGAGGAATAATGGTTGTTCATTTGGTGCTTCTTTTCGTAAAGGATTTGAACTCCTTTTAAATTTTATCCTTGAAACTAGTATTAGTCTCTACCTGTCATTTTTCCTTTACACATCCCTGCAATTATTAAGTGAGTAAGAGTGTTGAGAAAACAATGAGAAATTTCTTGTGAAAGGTGTAGGTGAATGGGGTAGAATCTTATTTGGTTAGGTGGGAGTGGTTTCAGAAGCCTTTGGAGAGTCTNTGTGGCACATCAACCTTAATAGGTATGGATTGTACCTTTTTGAGTGTGTTTCAAGTTGTGGGTCTAAGAGCACTAGTAAAAACCACTAGATTGTTATTTCTTCCAGATTCCTTTTTTTTTTTTTTTTTTACTCTCAATTTGTTAAGCGTTCCATTGTGGAAGACTAAAAATCTAGTTTCGGGAAGATTGTTGGGTGGGAGATAAACTCTTATGTTCCTATACCTTCATTTGGATAAGAGGTTGCACTTGATGGCCTCTATCATGCCTTCCTCTGATTCTACCTCTTCGTTTTCTTTGGGTTTATGTTGTCATTTTACGGAGAGAGAGAGAGAATGGAAGTGGCGACCCTTCTTTCTCTCTTAAGAGACTAGCTCGTGTGCTATGGAGGAGGGATAGCCAGATTCGGAGCCCCAAGTCCATGGGGGCTTTTCTTGTATCTCATTTTTCTATAGCTTGCAGAATCTCTCTCCCCTTTGGAGCCTCTATATCCTCGTCTCTTTGGAACGTTAAGATCCTCAAAAAGGTCTAGTTCTTTACTCGACAGATTTTGCATGCAAGATTTTTGTTGGGTCTACAATGGTACATTCTTTGTACGCGGTAGACAAGGGATCTTGACCATATCTTGTGAGGTTGCCAGTTTGCTTAGTCCTTATAGAACCATTGTGTGAGCTTGTTCGACTTATAACAAAGATTGTTGCTTTATGATAGAGGAGGTATTTTAAACCCTTTGTTCGGGATAGGGGGCTGAGTTTTCTGGCAAGCTTTTTATTTTGCTGTCTTGTGTCATATTTGGCTGAAGAGAAATAGTAGGTTTTTTAGAGGGATTAGAGAGATACTGAGAGGAGGTTTCAGAGGTTGTTAGATTCAATGCTTCTTTGTGGTATCTTTTACTCCGGCTTTTTGTAATCATCATCTTGGTCTTATGTTTTTGGTTGGAAACATTTTGTAATCATCAATTGCTCAATAAAAGTTCAATTTCTAGAAATTGTGTCTTTAACGACATTCAATTAGATATTGCCGATGTAACAAACTTTGTACACACTGGCACTGCATTGGATGACGAGGCTGCACAAAGGGGTACATCAGTTTACCTTGTTGAACGGAGAATAGACATGCTTCCAAAACCATTAACAGAAGGTCCACATTTACTATTATGTTGCATTACCGTGCACGAGAAACTATGAGAGGTTTTATTCTTCTCCACTTTAGCTCAATGTGATGAAAAATCTAAATCTACAGATATATGTTCTCTTCGAGCCGATGTGGAAAGACTGGCATTTTCAGTAATTTGGGTATGTGATGCCTTCATTCTTTTTGTTGTTAAATATCCCTATCTATTCTGTCTTTTTGTTTCTTGCAAATTTAGATAAGAGTTTTATTCTTCAGTTGAAAAAGAAGACATATTCATGCTTTTTTTTTTCTTGATATTCACTTCCTGAAATCCTATGTTGGCTCTTTATTGTATCGAACATTCTCTTTTATGAGACCGTCGACTTTTGTAATTTTTACTTCGATTATTTGTTTGAAACTTTGAATTCTCTGTGGTGTTATAATCAAATTAGGTTATCTTAGAAGCTGTGTGTATGTAGGAATTTTTGCACATTGGTGAATATGCTTAGACTTTAATATCCCCCCCCCCCCCCCCCCCCCCCC